CCATAACAAACTTAATTATAAATTGCTTAAAATATATTTATATATAATTTCTTTCATCTTTTATTTTATTAAATTTACTTTTGTTTTTGATTTTTCAACTGTTATCAACACGCCTAAGAGCATGAGTGAGTCAGTGAGTGAATGAATAAAGTGTGTACATACATACTAGGTCTCAAAAGCATCTCTAACACTACGCAAGGTATGCTCATAAGCCAGTCTTTTAGGGGTTTGTTTTATATTGTAGACGGTGAGCGGGTAGATATAAAGCAGCCTATTTAATTTATAATGACGTAAAATCGTAAAAAGCCTTTTGAATAGAATTTGTTACTTGACGAATATCAATCTTAACTTCCGTCTTCGCAAACACCAATACGGTTTTAATTAAAAAGTTGGGCCTCTTGTATTAAATAGGCGACTTTGGTTAATTTCACCCTCCCGAATTGCTTTTGAAAACACTTTCAACTTTGTATTACTTAATTATTCAGAACTAGCGACCAGCCCAGGTTTCGCACCTCAAATATATCTTGAGCGGTTACGATTATTTGTATAGGCTTATAGGCTTGCCTGAAAAAGTTTTGCTTTTTGTTAAGATTTTATAATTGTATCACAATTAAAGTTTCGGTGGGCGTTGATAGACCATTTTTAACAAGCCTCGATATATCATTCACTCAAACTTACAATGAGATAAAATCTATTTTGCACGATATTAAATGATCTTGGGCCGTGGGGTTCAAGTGCACAGGTGCTAATTACAGATTTAAGTTGGCGCCTGGTAGATGGTACCGGTGACCCCAGAGCTGGTGCTTTCCTCGCTCAACGAATAAGTATCGCAGCGAGAAAATGCTGCCAGCGTTAAAGGTACACAGCCACAAGGAGCAACATTTTTTTTTTTATAAATTTTAATTATTTTTATGCATTATGCTGTATGGATTAACATCAGAGGGAGAGATTCTAGATGTTTCTACTTCTTTTTAATTATATAATTCAAATAATTCAAATTAATATTGTGGACCTAAGTACGTCTTAGCTGTGTTTTCATTTAATCTTCCAAACATTCTCTCTCTCTCTGGAAAGTCATAGATTTCCAATAACTAAGATACTCTCAATGCTACGTGCCTTACAGAAGGACAGCTATAGTACTTGACATACAACAGACTAAGTGATTTCCATTCTACCTTTAAGTTCGTGGAAATATAGAATACTAGATAGGTACTCTTTTATTTGTACTTATTAGAAAACACAATACTTTGTCAATCGGTTATATCGTTGTATCGTCGGATATAAAAGTATAGAAATGCATCGTTTATTTAGGAGGAGTTTAATAGTGAGTTCGAATCCAGGCTTTGCAAAGGAATTTTAATGTTCCTATTTTGCACATCATTAAACAACTTTTAAAACTTAGGAAACGGGTATGTCTTTAAAAAAAACGAAAAAAAAACTTCTTTTTGATATTTTTTTTCTGCCTCGTAATTAGCTACTACTTATATATATTAATTATTGTGTTACTCAGTTAACCTTTTAATTGGATTTTAAATTTTTATTTATTATTTTAAATTTTTGAAGTTTTTTAATTTTTTATTTAGATTTTACTTTATTTTAGTTGTAGTAACTTGTTATTTTGAGTTTTTTTTTGTTAATTATTTATGCACATTAATAATAAATATGTCTTGTGAAGGCTGATCACTTACTTAAAGTCCTATGTAATCCAGGTGGGGCAGAGGGCATTTAGCTCAGAAAGCCAGCCTTATAGGTCCTGGACAGCCAACTAAATTTCACCTTCCTACGGCTCTGGAATGATGCTTTGTTGCCAGATTTCCTTTTGCATTGAGGATTCCAGTCAAGGGCTTGCTTGCACCATCAGCGTTTGTAAACCTGTCAACTGGCACCTCATTGCTGATGTTTAGAGATTCGCTCGGGCCAGCCGTCACTGATCACTTACTCTCTTTAAATGAAAAATGATTTAAAACAAACGTGTGTGTCCTTATATACACGCGTTAGAAGTTATACTTATTTGGCGTAACAAGATAAAAATCTTTTCAAAATTTTTACCTTTCGCCTTATTCTACGTTTGTAGAAAAAACGCCAAGAACTTTTTATCCTCATCATTTTTCCTTAACACGCCAAAATAAGTATAACTTCAAAAAAAATACTATAGCTAACTGGTGTCGGTTTTTTGCGACGGAGTGCGCGCGCATCGTAAATAATTATTCTCATCATTTTTCCTTAACGCGCCAAAAGAAGTATAACTTCAAAAACAATGACTCCTGCTAATCTTTATAAACGCTCTACTGTTTTTAGTTTGATACTAAATAAATGATAAAGTTTGTTGCTTCCATTTCCCTAATTCCCTACACCTTTGTCTCAATTCCTGTTCAATCGGGGGTTATACGCGATAACGCGCCCCCTCTGACGCAGCAAATCCCATTCCCTTCTATTGCCTGTTGCCTTCTATTTGTACCGGGCCTGTGACTTACCTTTTTCGTTAATATAATCTCTGCTTCATTTGATGCACAGTCATCAAGCTTTTGTTGTATTTATACTATACCAAAATATAGAACTTCATGCATGTACATTAAGGCTATGTTCACATGTAACGCGCGTTAACGCGCGATCAAATTTGAAGAGAGTTCAGATGATGAGCGCTTATGCGCGTTGCGAGAGTACTCGTCAATCTAGTTCGGTAGAACGTAGAAAATGGACGTGGAAGAGGCTATTATTTTGCGGTTATATTATAAAGAAAAATATAGAAAAAGAAAACGTACACATTAGGTTCATCCAATTTTGAAAAATAGACCCAGTTTGTTATAAATATAATTACGAAAATTAACAAAATTACATGCGATCGCGATGAAAGCGCGCGCTCATCTGAACAGCATACGGACATTACATTACAGTCAACGCGCGATCACCTACGTCTAGAGACTTTTTCTCTGAGCGCCGCGTTGACGCGCGTTAACGAGCGCTCATGTGAACAGTTGTATGAAAATACCACAATGTCTAGTCGCGCGATTTGAAAACGCGCGTCAAGTTTTTGCCATCTGAACATAGCCTAAATCTATATTGTAAATGAAATAGTTTAATAATTTTCTGCCTCTATCGTTTTTATAAATTTCTTTGCATTTCATTCCGTAATATTATAATATTTACATATATTTTGTCTTTGATAACTCACAAATACAAAATTCTAATCTTATAGTACTAATAACATTATTTAAAAATAGAAAACTAAAATAAATTTCAAACGTTTGGTCCCTGTCGCAGTTTAACGCTGACAGCATTTCCTCGCTTTATTGCAATACTTATTCGTTGAGCGATTAAACCATTCCATTAACCGGTAACCATTTTTTATTATTTATTCTCCTACAATAAAATCTACATAAAAAAGGAGCAGTAAAGATAACTAGGGAAAATTCCTTTTATCTCAAATAGATAATTTCCTGTCCTTTAATCGTACCGAATCAAATTCATCCAAATCAAAAAACCCTTTGCAAATTACGGAAACGGAAATATTCGGGAGGCTCAGTAAAAATAATTCGTTTACGTCGACCGGTTAAATTAAGTGAATGCGTTTTAATTTACCCACATTAGGACACGAGGATGAGATAAAAAGCCTGTCTTCTCTTATCAGAGGCAAGGGTTTTTATCGTTGACTATATATTAGTCATTGTCATGTATTATATAGATATGTGCTTTGTTACTTCCTTATGGTTTAGTGGTTACTGTGTGTTATACATATGCTTTTTTTGTAATTATTATCAAAAACAGAAAAAGTAAACTGTATGAGTTATTGATGTGCATCTGACTTTGAAAACGTGTCGTTATTTACGTACTTATGTTATACATATCCACTCCAGAAATGCGTGCAAAGTCTAAAAAAATACAGTACAGTTGAAACTTGGACTATTCCTTAAGTGGAATATTTTATTGACTTGAATAACAAACAACAAATTATTTTTATTTTGAACTTTTAATTTTATTTTATTTACTACACACCATTACACAAGACTTCAATACTTACACTGCTAACTTTTACTAATATTATTATTATTTCTTTTTTCTACTAAGTATTATTACATGGCAATTACAGCCACAGCACACACGCATTACACACTTGAAAAGAACCGAATGGGAAAAGGGAAAAAGAAAATTTCCTTTGATTATTGTTATTTTGTGTGAATATGTGTGTGTGTGTTTTTGTTTGTAATAAATGTTTATTATGGAACATAAGATACATGTATCACTTTACAATGATATGTCTATGTCTAAATCCATAGAACTTATAGATTAGACTATATAGATTTTGTGAACATATAAACATACAAATTATTACGAAATTAATTACACGTGCTTAAATAGATCACCAGTGAACTGATGTTGCTAATTTAAAACCCCACTTACTTAAACCATAAACACAAATCACGTGAAACACTAAAACGTAAAAGCCTTTCGTAACAATTTCTACGAAAAAAACAAAACAGGTTACGATACGCCCAAAACATTCCCTCAGGAAAGCTCTCCATTTACCTGATCTTTCGTTATACCTCCGGGAACGTACATTTCAACCAAAAAACCTCCGACGGGACTCATAAAAAGCCTACATCCAATTTAGACAAGGGGTGAATATAGAAATGGTTATATTAGGTAGGCTTTAAGGGAATCGTTAGGCTAATTTGCCGGGACTGATTGCAAATATAATATGCTTTTAGAATTATAATTGGTCTACGCTCTTTGGATGAATTCATTGGATTAAATTTAAATTTTAATTACCGATTTAACATCGTAATTAAGAGATTTTATTTCAAGGTTTTTAAATTATTTCATTAATTTTAAGGTTTTCAATCAGTGCTTCATTAATTAAAAAGATTGTATTCGTATTATAAAACGTACTTCCAGTTGTTAACCCATCCTACGAGGGTTTTCTATCATAAACTTCCATAAAATGTTAATCATTACAGTATATTGTGCAATTGTTGGTTTTTTCTATATTCCCCTACGGGGTCATGGACTTTTTCAGCGTAAGACAGGAAAAGGATTGATTTAATAAATATGTAATGTTGGAGAAGGATGCTCCGCATACCATGGATCGCTGAAAGAACTAACCAATCAATCTTGCATCAACACAGAGTTCCTACGAGACTCTCAACGCTACAGAAGAGTTTCCCTTCTTTGGTCAAATCGCCCATCGCGAACCAGATAGCATGGAGAAGCTGGTTGCGTCGGTAAAGTGGAAGGCAAAGCGCCACGGGGCAGATCACCAACCCGCTGGTAAGATCGCGATTCTCTCCATAACAGCTGCGCTAAAGGAAGCTACACACCGAAAAAAGTGGAGAAGATCAGTAGCAGGGTAGCAGGAAAGCGTCGAGAAGATATATATAACGTAAAATATAATTAAGATTGACGTTCTTTTGCTTAAAAGTAACGAGTTGTAATAATTTCTTAGTGATTACATTTAGACGTAGTCTTGGAAACGCTCTCACGCTCTTTAACGTTCTATATTACTTTGTAATGTTGGATGTATTTTTGTTGAAATCTCCACGGACTCTCTTTATATAAAAGCTTCATCAAGATTTTCCTCACTTAGAGTTTTATTCACAGGACTGAGTATACATTTTAATATTCTGGGGCCCCCAAATTATCATTATATTTCAAGACAATACAAATATATCACGTATTGTAATTTAGGTGGTTTTATTTGCTTGGGATTTTTGTAGTCATTTTATTTTATTGGTAACATTAATCCTTATATTTCAAATTTTTACGGTCCACATGCCTTACCACAATTTTTAAACGGAAAAAAGAATAAACCCTATGCAAGTGTTTACCTCATGAGCCATTGGATCATTGTAATACAAAATTAATAACTGCAAAATTGTGTTTTTTTATTCTTGTTGTTTCTAGATAACTTATACTCGATAATATATGAGAAATAAAATAGGCAATCTCATACATATTGTCGCTGCCTGCTTAGCACTCAAAGGTTTTTAAACTATTTATTTTGTGATCTCCATCACTGCTTCTATGAAGTATTCGAAATGTCGAATAACTAAACAATACATATAAGAACAATTATTATTAAGTTGATTATACACTTAATACAATCAACATTTATGTCGTCCTATAAACAAACTTTTACAAGATTTCTTGGTGCCTTAAGAAACGTAAGTTAGCCTCTGTACGTTCAGTTATTACAAGTATAATAGAGCCATTGAATCTCACTACTGGATATTGGAATTCAAATAAAGGCTAATGCAAATGAGACGACGAGGTGATAATCGTTGAGAGGGCAGATAAGGGGCAGGTTAAAACATTTAAATGATATTCCATTCTTTGCCTTATAAAGGCCGGGTACATAGCTAGGTGATCGAATTTCGACGGCTTTGTTTATGTGAAATCCCGTAAACTGTAAGCGATATTTTTCCGTCAATTCCGAATCATACGTAAATAGATATTGAAATTGCATGTTTTCTTATTGCGTTAGGCGGTGATTCATATTTTGTTTTATACTATAGTTACTATTAATTTATTAACATCCTCTTTTTCCTTTAAGAATAGCGTAACAATTTCTTAAAGGCCAGCAACGCACTTGCGAGCCTTCTGGAAATGTGAGTCCATGGGCGGTGGTATCGCTTAACATCAGGTGAGCCTCCTGCCCGTTTGCCTTCTATTACATAAAAAACCTAGTTTATTATGTAATCTTTTTTCTAATAGTATTCACTATAACATAGTTTATATTAAGTATATATTTTTTAACACATTACTGGCCTGTTAATAAAACTGTTGACACTGAGTTTCTGTTTAAACTACCAGTAACGGGTGGGTACAACTTTTATCCTGTACTTAAATTTTTTTTTTAAATAAGTATTTATAAGGCGTGCTTTATTTTCACTTTGTTCTTATAATTTTCATACCGAACACCTATAAGTCTGTATATTAAAAGCCTCCTAGGACAATTTAGTGGCAGCATTCCCGAGCCCAACAATTGTTTATTAGTTCTAAATAGGGTGTCAAGAGACGGAACAAGATTTAAGGGAAAACGAGGCGTTGCATTGTCACTGAATTAGCATAGAAATTATTTGAGTTGGGGGTGATCATAATTAAATATTCAATCCAAGGGTTGTGGTTAATTTTTGCATTTAGATTTTGTGACAATTTACTGACATGTTGAAGGCACATGTGTGTATATAGTAATATAGTTGTAGGAAGATTGTGTATATAGTAATATAGTTGAAGGCACATGTGTGTATATAGTAATATAGTTGAAGGCACATGTGTGTATATAGTAATATAGTTGAAGGCACATGTGTGTATATAGTAATATAGTTGAAGGCACATGTGTGTATATAGTAATATAGTTGTAGGGCAATTCACTTAAATGTAAGGCGAACCAATCAGTTTTCAGTGTTGCAGAAGCTAATTTCAAAATTTAAGGGAATACTAAATCTGCCCTGAATTGTGTATAAAGATGTATGACCGTCTTATATTTAAACATCAGATTCAGATTATATCTTTTACATATAATAATATATATTTTTTTTTAAATCAGATTTTTCGATACTTTAAAATTGAAAAATTAAAGTAGCTTATTATAGCAATAAAGGGGTTCAATGCAGCTGACTATTGCTATGGACTTAAATGTGTGAGTATGCGTAGAGTAGTATCTCGTACGGTGAAGAAAAACATCTTGAGGAAAAGGCATACCTTAGACGTACAAAGTCGACGACGTGTAAGGCATAGAATAAGCTTTCTTAATAGAAATAAAACAGACAGGAATCTAATGCCAAGTCCAAGTGCCGCTGGTGCTTTGACTATCTATCAGCAAAAAAGTTATAAATTACTAAAGAAGTAGTGAAAAGTTATTTGGGATTCTGAGAAAGCAATACAACGCATACCTATGTGTATTGTTTTGGATTTGATTTACAAACTCAAAATAACATTATTCATAGGTAACCAAGTACACTTATGAACGTCAACAGAAAAGACGTTATATTGATTATAAATTTACATTTACTACCAGTTCGCTAGTCAATAGCGTATAGCATTTTTGTATATGTATCCTGTCTTATACATAGATATATAAAGATATACGTAGATTTGGATAACTTTAATGTTGCTTACACTACACAAAATTCGGCCCGTAGCACTCTTCAATCATCAATTTGAACAACCAAACCGCGAACGTGAACTCGGCTCACGCTGCGATTGGGCGATTACGCATCATCGACCGACCGCTGCGTAAGTTCACGTGTGAATTTACGAGAGATTTATAGGGTTTTATGAATAAAATTTTAACTCAAAACCGTTTTACGTATACTATAGACTAGTTGAGGATCATCCCATTAGGAAGGGCAGCACCTTCCTTCCTCCACAAAATTATTACTATTGATATTATCTAAACTAAAAAGGTGTGATATTGTTTTATTACAATGCCTTTGATTTACGCAAGTACACTTATAAACAGATACGTAATACAATGTTTATATTAAAGTTGAGCATGACGTGCTGTAACGTTGAGAACGTTGATGTGAGGTGTTGATGACTACCCAAGAATAAGCTAAGCCTGTGTGTGTGTTGTAGTAAGCCTGTTTGACCGTATCTCTCTATAGTTTTCTTATTAGTTTCCTTAATAAATAAATAAATATATAAAATTCTCGTGTCACAATGTTCGTTCCCATACTCCTCCGAAAAGGCTCAACCTATTCTTATGAATTTTTTTTTTTTATGTACAGTAAGTTTGAGAATCGGCTACTATCTATCTATAAGCTATTCTCCAGTGATAAGGGGTATCCACCCCGAAAATTTTGTTTTTATTTTTTAGATTATTTTTTGTTTTTTTTATGATACACCATACAATACATACAACCCTAAATTTTCACCCCTCTACGAATAACCCCTATTTTTCATTATGGTAGAAACACAGTTATTTTTATTGAACTAAACAAATTTTCTAGAAATAATATACATGGCAAAACGTTTACCGGGTCAGCTAGTACTATATAATATTTGCGATTGGCACTGGAAACGAGCCTATGGGATGCCAAAAAAAGGGCATTGCAGCCCATGGGCACCCGGTTTAGTGAGCACGCGGGGTATGCTATTATTTTTAAAAAATTGGAGGAAGTAGGTATCGGAAGACGCCTAAGAGAGTCGATACCACATTTCGCTAGTAGACAAAAGAAAATATGTAAGTAACTCTATTCTGAACTCTGCACCATCGCTTACTAGTTAGATCCTGGTATAGACACAGTGGTCGCTTTGCCTTCCTATAAATCATCAGAAATACATCATTATTTATCATTAGAAAAGGATTAAAAATGATTTTATGTCGCATTTATTTGTTTCCAGGAACAAAACATCTTAAAAAACTACTCTGATATTATAACTGTCTGGATAGAATTTATATATCCCTCCAAAGAACGTGTACAATTACGAAATAATACCCCTGCTAATATAGGAAAAAGAAGGGCAAATTCAGTATAAAACTCGTTGATTACACGTATTCATTATTGGAAAGTTATCTTAAAAGAATCTCATTAAGCCTCGGAAAGTTTGATGAAAGTTGTGCAACTATCGCGTACTGGCCTTTGATACGACCCACTATTTAGTGGATGAGTTTTACTTGTGTTATGGTTCATGTTAAAAGCTTGTAAGTAAATAATGTTGTCAAAATATATTTAATAATCAAAGTAATTATACATCGCTGAAGTATTTCCGAGCCAATTCGACTTAACAACAAAAGAGCAAATTCAAATTAAAAAAAAATCTAATTCAAAAATTATTTATTCGTATAGTAATGTAACACAATGTACACTTCTGAACGTCAAAAAATAAATATACATTAAATGCTTCTAATTTAACATTTACTGCCAGTTTTCAGATCAAGGGCGGAGAACGGAAGAGATGAACTGGCAATAAACTCTCCGCCACTCTTTTTAATCGTCAAGTTTTTTGTATTACACAACATTTGTAAGGAGCTGCAACACATGACATCTAAAGTAATAAATAATAATAAAATAAATTAAATACAAAGATTTATTCTCTATCAGCAGGAGGCATGGTGAAATAGGAGCACGCACTTACATTCTCGTGGGAATAACACGGAAATACATAGACGAAATAACTAACATCACTGCATACACGAAATCAAGTACGACCAGTCACCACAAGTAGAACCAGTTCACGAGCATGACGCATGACCAGCCATCGGCCCCCTCGCCATATTTTAGGGAGAGAGACAACCTGACGCATGGATGCCTACCAATTCTTAAAGGGCCGATAACGCACTCGCGAGCACTGCCCTGCGATTCTGTAACTCACTTTTCGAACTCACACAGCAGTTTTCGCATCGGCG